TATCTCTATTTTACTATTTTCACTTACATTTTGATAGGAGAAGCAAATATTCAATTTTACACAAATGATCAGTTTTCTTAATAGGACTTCTCTTTCCTACCTCTTCTCTGAACAACTGTGCTTCTGCAAATCTTGTCTGGAAGGTCATCCAAGAAGATGCAAGAGAGAAGGAACCTGTTTGGCCAGCACAATTTGTTCCTCAAGTATATGGATATAATTGGATGTACCCCTTACTTTGATTAAACCACTGTAAATCAATTAAATATAAGCAACATAGTCTTTAATGTAGCCATCTGGTTGCACTCTAGGACTTAATATACCAATCTTTGAGCTGACAGAAAAATACTATAGCATGAAACATGTTGTTCCGACAGCCAAGCCCTACACTTCCTGATTAATAGGGCCGGTGTAGTACTTACTTTTGAGACTAATTTGAGACTAGTTAACAAAAGGGATTGGTGAATTCTCCTGACTTTGTTTCTTCTCTCATCAAATATCTGCTGGTGTGAAAAACATCAACAATTGCTTTCTTAATATGTGGGGAGGTGGGGTTGGGTGGCTGCACCCAAGGGTTTAGTTACCTGGTATGTTATTTAACTAATAGACTACTGACATGAAGTAATAGACTACTGACATGAAGATGCCATGAGCTGGGACCCACCACTAGCAATATTTCAAAAGAGGACTTAAGTTTTGTCTCAAAAAAGAGGAGGTGCATGGATAAAGCAGGACAGAGGTCTCATGACTGGACTTTTTCTAAGGAAGGGTGATCAATGTTCAGAAAAACCTTTACTGACAGACTATAGACCTTAAGGGGAGGTGGTGAAAAGCACTAGGGAACTTTTCCCCCTCTTCACTATCCCAGTTATATGGCACTTTGATTGAGAGGCTCAGAAGCGGAGTAATGAGTGAGCTCCCTCTTCTACTAATGATGTGAGGGGATTGCTGGCAACAAATAGCCAAACCAGCAACACCCAGAAATAATCCATAGAGTATTCAAAATGATGCCCCCCCCTCATGATAAAACAACAACAACAGCCTTGCAAAATACCTTGTTGGCAGAATCACTGGAAAATCTGCAATGCAGTACTGGGGATAGAATCAGCAACAGTTAGCAGAACTGTGTTCTGGTCTAAATCAATCTTCTGTGCAGTACATGTTTAAAGAGCAGAACTAGTACTCTTTTATAAGAGTGTTAAATTCTTGCGCCAAATTCAGTATATACACTTTGAAAAGCATCAGTAAGACATTGCACAAACAGATGTTCCTGTAGAAGTCTTATGCCTGGTCTTTCCTGCAGCTCAACGGTAAGTGTCCATGGAGGGCAGTGCCCAGAACTGGAGGGGAGGCAACATCTGTAGAGCAGACTAAAGTACCAGATCTTAGCCCTGACTGCATGATCAACCACAACACGGGTAAGTGTGTTAGATGTCCTCATGCATCTGAAGAAGGAAAACAATTTCATGCTGGAATAACTACAAATAATTCCCTTAGTACAGGCTGGGGATGTGATGAAAAAAACATCACAAGACCATGAAATTCAAGAATATTTACTATGGAATGGGCATGCCTTGATTAGGGGGAAATGAGTTCTTAATATGTTTGCTTTTCATTCTTAAGTCACACCATTTAAGGTATATTTACAACTCAGGTTTATTATTTTAAGCCAGCTTATTTTCCCTCAATAAAAATGCTGATTATAGCATTAGTATATGATCTATCATGACTCTAACCCTCTTCATAAAACAAAGGTTTTCCAAATTCCCTCAGATGGGAATCACTAGTAAACCAGCTTATATTTGTGGAATAAGCATGTCTTGTAGTATATCTATAGACTGAGATCTGCTTCATTGGCTCTTGCTTTGTTCAATATTATATTTTCATCTATAATAAAATCATAAGAATTGTCTGTACTTCTTTGAAATGTCTAATACCTAAAATCCACATCTTTTTTGCTTTCTCATTACACTTAACTAACATCTGGCTACAACCAAATCTCAAGGGCACACAAAATTCCTGCTGTGCTATTTTTTTTAACTTGGCAAAGCTTTAGTCTGCAACTTCTGGCAGAGATAGTTTCTGAAGAAATTCTCCTTATTTGTTTTCTACTGTACATTCGTTAAAATCAATAGCAAAATAAAAATATATTGAAGAAAAGAGTACGAGTTGTACTTGTGTCATGGATATTTTAATCATATTGATTAAGAACCAAAATTGAAAACAAGCAAACATAAAAAGAGATGAAGATATTTGGAAGCAAAGATGCTTACAAATAGGTAAGCAGAGCAAAAAGGAAGTGGAGCTATGGAAAAAAGGGACAGAAGAACGCAGAATTATGAATACTAGTCAATGAGGTATTTTCTGATCCAGTAATAATAAAGAGTACATAATCTATAGAATTGTGCTCTCTAGGATGGATCCCAGATGAAACTCCGTAAATGGGACTCAAAAATTCCTGAGACTAAATTTCCAAATGTAAGAACAAATCTATCCATTATTTCTTCTACATTGTACCTCTTTAACAACCTTCATGGTGTTGTCAGACATCTGAATGGATCCCAGATGCAACATTTCCAAAATTGTAGGTATTGTAACTGCAATACAGGATGTCTATGAGAAATACAGTTATACTGTCATAGATGCCAAAGTCTCTACCAGATTTTCTAGTTCAGACAAGCGCTAAATAAAATCAAATGACTTCATTTAGAAAAACCTACATTAACAGAAAACATACTGTGTGTCCTCCTTATTTGAGTGGTCAAGTAAATACATAGATTTGTGCCATTTACTCTTTTCAGACTTCTAACTATATAGGTTTTCCTGCTTGAGCAGGGGGCTGGACTAGAAGACCTCAAAGGTCCCTTCCAGCTCTATTCTATTCTATTCTATTCTATTCTATTCTATTCTATTCTATTCTATTCTATTCTATTCTATTCTATTCTGTTCTGTTCTGTTCTATTCTATCTCAGAGATGACATTCCTTTGTCCTGGATTAATGTAAAAGAACCTTCCGTGCAACGATGAAATTTTCTTCATCTGAATTTAAAAGTATTTAAAGGAGTCAGTGTTCTTAAATTACCAATTCAAAATCCTGAAAAGCTACCATTTGTAGAAGAAGCTTACATTAACTTAGGGCTCTTTGATTAACATTTTCCTTCTGATATTATAATAAAAATGTGTATCCATTTGTTAGCAATCTATCTTTTGAGAAGAATGGTACTGTTGCAAGTAAATCAAATCTTTCTCTATTTTCATCTCTTAGCTTCTCTTGAAAAAAAAATCTGGTGATCACACATATTGGCAGTTGTGATCTAAACAGTTTTTCATAATCTGGCACTTTTCTGTTATATAGAAAACATCACGTACATTGGAATCTAAAAAAGAATAAAGAGGGGGCATGACTTTGGCTATCACGTTATACCGTTATGTGATTGAACAATGTTAAAGAAGAACTAGAGAATATGAGGTATTCATTTCTTAACTAAAATACACAATTTTAGTCTTTTGCATCTATGAATTATATGCACTGCACTCTAATATGTGCCTATACAAAATTAAATCCTATTGAGGTCAGTGGGACTTAATCACAAAAATGTAAACAGGATTGCTGGTTGGGTAGTTTTCTGTTGCAAAAGCCAATGTATGGGATGAAAATTAACTAATTAGTTTGACTTCTGAGTTTGCTTACATTTGATTATAATATCAGTGGCATATAAATGTCTATCATAGAATTTGCGTACAGTTCTGCATTAAATCTGGTCATGTATTCAGGCTATTGTAGGCATCTAGCATTTTCAGTTACTCAAGTCAGCCCCATAATGAGATAGAATTTAAAACTTCCATGGAAAAGCTTTAAATTATGTGTATAAAATATTTCTGGACTGAAGTTTATGTGTATAAAATATTTCTGGACTAAAATATTTCTGGACTGAAAAGAAATTTAAAAACATTAACTGGACAACAGAATCAGTATCAAACCTGAAGGTGTCCCTAATTCGTTGAGGTTATCAACATACCAAATGGTGAAGAGTTACTCATACATTTAATATGCCCTGAGTTTTCCTTTTCCTTCCAAAGGAAGTTCTCACTTTTAATCTTTTATGTTTCCTCTAATGAATCTGGCTTCTTTGTGGCAAAATATTTGTGTATTCCTGTGCCTCTGAAAGGGATCAGCTAACCAATTTCCACTCTATTTTAAAACTAAAAATTATGACTGGAGCTAGCAAGGAGCTCTCTTGTTTTAGAGTTGCAGAAAAATAACATCCCTCTTCCTTTCCCTTTTCATCTCCCCTGTGTTTTCTAAACTTTGAAAAATAAATAGCATGTTTAAACAAGTGTACAGTTGGGTGACCCAAACAGTAGTAAAGCAAAATAACACTTATCTGCTGACAGAATTTCTTAAAAATAAATAAGCTAAGTTTGGTTCCTTGCCAAATTTGATGCTTCAACAGTTATTTTTTGGAGGGGGGGGCGTTCTAAGGAGTTTAAATAAGATGAAAATTCTCCTTCATTCCATCTGGAAGGCAATGTCAGACATGCTGTTTCCATGTCTGCTTGTTTGCTTTCTGACAGGACTGTATAATTCAAGGCTGCCCAGAACAACTGTCTTTAGAAGAGTCTCAGATTTTACCACAGGCCAACCAGAGCAGTGAGAGCTTCCTCTTCTTGGACTGTGGTATTATGGAGGGCAAAATCCTTCTGAATCTTCAGTGTCAATGCTATCCCTGCCAATAATATTTAGAGAAAGTGGCTATGTGTGCGTGGATATACGAACCCACACTGCTATTTCAGTTTGACTGCCGTATGTCAACCCTGTTATTTTCTACTAAGAGTTCATAATGCTGCCTCCAGACTGATGTTTCCAAAGCAGGTTCAGAAGCCAGGAATCTGGAGGGATTAAGATTTCTTTTCTGCAGACCTTCCCTGGGTGGTTGCCACTGGAATGGAGAAGTGCTGTTTCTGAAGGTTGTTCTTTGCTTGATTGAAAATTAGTCTCGAGTTCAGTTTCTTCTCCTCAGGAAGAAAAAGCTGCTCTTTTGGGGAGGTCCTAACAACATTGGCACTTGGCTTTTGTGGGTTATTTTAATCTGGAAGCAAAAAGGATAGAAGCCAAAGTCACAAAATCATTGAAATGAAAAGGCTTTTGGAGATAATTTGGAACAGTAAAATCCTGTATTTCATCCAGAATTATGAGGCAAGAGGCAACAACGATAACTCTGATAGATGCAGGTCCATCTTATCTCAAACATCTCAAGCAAAGGAAAAACCAATATGTTCTAAGGCAGTCTATTCCACTTCACACATTTATTTTTAGATGTTTCTCCTCCTAGTTAGCTGAAATCTGCATCCCCTTAATTTTGACTCATTGCTTTGTCTTGCAATCTGGAAAGCTTCTCCACCTGGTTCTCAGTTCTTCAAATGTTTAAAGACGACATCAAATTTCTCCTCATATTTTCTTCAGTATCCAACTGTTTCATTATATTATGATTAGGTGATTGCTCTTTCTAGATAGAAACTATTTCAAGGGACTATGGAAAGGGCAAAGATTTTCTATTAACTGAGATAAACATTAACTTTTCCCTTTTGTCAATGTCTATTTATGCTAGTTTATTGCTGCTACAAGGACTGGCTCCAACAGAGGACAAGCTGTTTGGAAGAACTAAGAAAATAGTTATTTCACCTGTGTCATTTATTTGCAGAAGGAGGAAGTGGTATCTGCTGAATCTACTACTCTATGGTTTAGGGCATGTAGCCTTGCTTTTATATAATAGCATTTTGCTGCAAGGTTCCCCAATCTGATGACCCCAGAATATTGCAATAGGACTGTTATAATCTCTTTTCAGGTGGCAATGTAACATTTTCCCTAGATTAGAGCACATGAGCAATTGTTTGGCAGCTAGGGGGAATATCAATCTTTTCCTACAGTCACCTAAACATGGCATAAACCTGCCAGGTGTTCTGCTCTTCCTGATCTGAAGGCCTTTCTTCCATGACCAAAGAAAATCAGTACCAAGCAGGATCTGGCTCACAGATACACCCCCACTCCTGTTGCTTCAGGGAAAGACAAAACAAGTCTGTTTAGTTCTCTATGGCAAATAAAAAAAAAGTTCCTTATCAGACTGAATTGGAGATAGCACTGAGACAGTTCAGCCATTAAGTCTTATGAGTGGTTGTGGAGGCAGCAGAAGAACAGGTCATCTTCTCCACCACAGCCCAAGATGACTCAAGAAGTGTAACAGGCTCTCCAGAAAGGCACATCCAGCATATCTTGCCTGGCCAGTCAACTGTCATAAGGTGAGATCCTCAAAGCAATGAGAATGTTGGGAAGTAGCATCCAATGTGATTCAAAAACTGAAATCCAAACCCTAGATAGCTCCAGATTAGGAAAATGTTTGGTCCTTGTTTAACAACTATTCATTCAATGACCATTTAAACTTGTGATGATCTCAATGAAGGGGACATATGATGAGTCATGTTAGTTGTGGTCATTGCAATGTGCCTGCAGTTCATTTGATTGTGATTTGGATGTTTTGCAACAAGTTCAAAAATTATGACATTTGCAGCATCCCTCAATCACATGAACATGTTTTGCAATCTTCTCTGCTATCTTCCCATGAGCGAAATCAAAGGGCAGTAGAGTTTTTGCTGCCTATAGAAGAACTTATAGGCAGTTTTTGCTGCCTATAGAAGAACTTATAGCTCAAAGTGGAACTGTGGAGAAGTCAATGGGGAAGCTGGCAGGAAGTCAGAAGTCATGGTCATGTGAGATTCTTACTTAATGACCACATCCAGAGATGGCTGGAACTGCTATCACTAAGCCAGGCATCTCAAACTCGCGACGTATCGGAACTTTTTCACCATTGCCGGCAATGGGGTGGGCGCGGTTCCGGTATGATGAAACCGGCCCGCGGCCCGGCAGTTTGACACTCCTGCACTAAGCTGTATGATCAGATGATGTCACACTTTGATTGCATCACTTAGTGATGGAAATTCTGATCCAATTACCATCATTAAGTGAGGACTACTTGTATACACAGGAATTCAAAGAGCCATTCTTTTCACTTTGAATACTTCTCTGCAAGATATTGTTCTATAATACTCATTTGCATATCAGAGTCTCTTCTGTAGCTTATTTAAAAAAAAAACACCCAACCCACTTCTCAGATCTTCTTGCTCTAATAAATAAACTCCTTTAATAGCATTCAGACTTTTCTATGTTTCAACTACTCACTGTACAAGGTGGTTGCATCCAAGGCTCTCCATCCACTTGCATGGGCAATAGTTTGGTTGTTCTGCAATACACAAACAGTCTTGTAAGAAGGAAAACTAGTCAGAACTGAATTCTGTCTTGCTCTAAGCTGTCAATAATGAAAAGAGTGAAAGAGTGAGATATACAAGATGATGTTATCTAATTGTAGTCACTGAATCATCACCTAATGTTAAGTGCGTGAATGATAAATGAACCATAAATTAATAGGATGGTTCCAATACTATGATAAAAAATGGACTGGCTAATTTGTAGATCAGTTTGTTGTATGAACATGCTTCTTGTTAGCATGGTTAGGATTTCTAGGAACCACAGAAGCAATAGCATAGTGGCACAAGAAGGCATGCTCCGTTTACATGTATCAACCCCACACCTTTATCATCCTTTGCTTAACTCATCTAACATATGTGCAATTGCAAATAGAGGCAACTGTGTTTTATCCAATATATTCTTGAGGTATATTGAGTTTGGCTCTATAAAACGACATCCTTTTCCTATTTCTTAATGCAAGAGCAGGCACCTTATTCTCCTTTGTACTGGGTCCCCCTGTTTTTTAATGGCTCCTCATCGCATTCTCTCATCTCCTTTTGTCTCTTTCTAGAACATTCTGGGAAAACATAATGCCTTCTAAGTAAAATGCTTTATTTTCATCAACATTCATCAACATTGTTTATCCACTGCAGGATGAAATCTTCTTCGTGTTTCCAACCAGCTTTATTTTATAGACCTGATAAGTTTTTCAGGTCATGGCAAACCACAGAAAATACAGATTTGGTCTTTAGAGCAGGGTATTAGAATATTAGCACACAAAAGAAAGGGATACCAGGAAGTGCCTGATTCTTTTTTGTCTCTTACTACAATACCTTCCAAATTGGGCAAAACATTCATATTAGAACTAAAGCCTCAAAGTAGGTACCTGATGGCAACAGAGGAACACTGGGCCAATCTCTTTCCAGCACTTTTCAGTCCAGTATAGATCTGTCCCATTTCCATTGCCCCTTCAAGACCAACAACTTCCAAGAGCTGATCACTAAGATCTAATGAAAGAAAGATAGATTATTATTAAACAAAGAAAAATGTGTGGCCTTTTATTGTGTTTAATGCAAAGCTGAAGATTGCTTATACTGCTGTTCTTCATGTAGTGGCTATGGACATCAGGGTACGTATTTGCAAGGTTCTCATACTCCTTGATCATTTTTTAAATTAAAATTGTTTTAATTGAAAAGTTGACATATCTATAGCTGTCTGTCTGTCTATCATCTTCTATCATCTATCATCTATCTAATCATTGGCGGTAGTAACAGTGTCCAGAAAGACTAAAGGAGATATTTTGTATGCAAGTTTTGCTCATCTGTTGTGCACATCTGCACTGTTGTTTTTCTTCACTTTACCAGTGTACCTTCTGAAATAGGAACTTTCTTGTGATTGGTGGAGAAAATGTTGTGATTTACTCTGAGGGATCACGTCTACTTCTGTTTCTTGGCCAAGTCTCTGAACTTTACTGCACCGGCCTGCATTTTAGAAAAATGGGCATTTAATCCCAACCGGTTGGTATCAATTTCATGAATGGGCAAAACGTCATTAGCATGACTGTCTTTCTGTGTATATATCAGTCAAACACTCCTTTATTTCCAAACTAGCTGTACCCAGTCACATGTTGCTGTGGCTCAGTCTGGTAAAAGCGTATGTTGCTTTTACGTCCAACAGATGGCGCTGTTTTTCAAAAAAGCATGTTTTTACCTGTCACAGGTGTGACATCTATATAATATAGGTATATAAAAGCACGCGCATATTCGAATGCAACGTTGTGTCAAAATTTCAAAGCAATCGGTGAAGAATTTTCGGAGATTTAAGATTTGGAACAAACGAACATTTACATTTTTATTTATATATAAGATGAATCCACTGTCCTGAAAGGACTGGAAACAAGAGTTCGAAGGCAATGTTTGGAGCAGTTCTTTGTCAACCTCATCTTTTATTGGCAGAATTTCCCAAGTTCATTTAAAATATTCAGATTGCAGGTCTACAAATACACCTATCTTTGGAAAGTTACTATTAGTATGTAGAAGCTGTACAGGCCAGTGACTAGATGAGATACTATTTCTATCTATTTAAATCTGTTCTGAGTTCCCTGGAAAAATAATATAAGAAGCATGCTAAATTTGTCAATAGTCTGAATCAATAAAAGGTAATTTTATTTATTCACCATATAATGGAAGTTTTGGTTAACTCAGGAGCATGATTTTTTTTGCTAGGATTAAATTATTATCACCTTTCTCCACATTTTGCTTTGAAATGAGTTGGCTACAACTCTCAGTTCAATTTTTTTCTTACAAGGCTAAGTTATAGGTAATGTAGGCAGTCCCACGACTTGTGATCCAGTGATCCCCTGCACATTACCTATGGGTGCCTTTGATGCTACAGTGAGCATGTTCCAAATATTTCATTTAATTTCATTAAAAAGACTTTATTGGGAAAAGAATCACATTGTGAGGGAAGCACTGTAACAGTGACAGTGCTTCAAAAGCAAAGCAACAGGGGTAATATTTCTGCATTTGGCAGCACTTTTTGTGTAAATTCTACCCATTTTCAGAAAGATTTGTGCACTTGATGCTTGTGTCATCCAAGAGTATTACCAAATGCACAGATGTTATCAATTTGTGGTTTTGAACACAAATGACTTCCCTATTTGGGTCAAGGATTAAACTTTTTTCAGCACTCAGAAAGATGATGCAGCTAAGGATAAATAAGTAGGCTTGCTTCATCTCTTTGGGTTCTTCATTTGGCAAACTCTCCTGTGCACATGCATGGTTTCTGTCTGGTTGCCTTTGCTGTGCAATGGAAAAAGTATAGCATGGAATGAAAATGAATGACAGACAAGAAGCAACAAATGTGAGAACAAAGCAAACGTGAGACCTTTGTCTGGCCTATGTCAAGATGAATCTGCAGTGCCAAAGTTGGAGTCATTTGTTCTGCAGCACCCCAAAATAGCATATTTAATTTCCTCAAATGAGGTCTTGCCTGCAAGACTTCAAAACTAAACACTAATGGCCTCAAATTATTCTTTCTTCTGCTCTGGGAAAATATTTGGAACAATATAGGAATAGTTTTTAAAGATTGTTTCCTTCCACATTTGTGCATATTCCTCCAGAGTCTGAATTATCAGAGAAACAAGCCAGCATAATATGTGCTGCCATGATGGCTGAACTCTAATTTGCTTGCCAGTGCTTCTTACAGCCTTACCATGACACAAGTTAAAGGCAAGATTTAGTAATTTTTTGGGGTGTTATTTCCACCACCTCCCAGAATCAGTAGATAGTCAGAAAAACAACCACCAATCATTCTCCTGAAAGTGTGATGGAACAGGTTGGACAGAGGCTTTAGCTGTATTCACGTTGTCTGTGTGACAGATCACTCGAGCTATTTCAGAACATAGGTCAACAGGTTGCTAGTCTGGAGGAAGGAGCTTACACAGCACACTAATGCAGTGCCTTTCTGCCTCATTCTGGCCCATCTTTAACTTGTCAGCTGGGTTATTTTTGGACGAAAGCTTACCAGTCTTCTAGAAGTCTGGTAAACTTATAGAGACATTTACCACCTCTCTGTCACTTGGGATAGAAGGGGAAACTAGCACTACTCTTGTCAATTTCCTTCCAGCTTCCAAATTGGTAAGACCTATGGGGGAAAGTGAATGGACATATCAGCATCCAAATGTATCCAATGAAATATGCAAAATGGCATCAGAGCAAAAAAATAATGCTGCCTCACTCCCAAAATAATAGGAGCAGCAGTAAACACAGCCATGCCAAACCCTTGTCAGCAGAAGCAGCAGAAAGCTGTAGCGAACTCGAGTAGAATCAGCAATACATACCTCCCCGTTTAAACAATTAGCAGATCCTATTTTTAGTCACAGGCAGGCTTACTGATCTTTGTAAAACTTTTGAATATTTAATAGTAGGTCAAAAAGGCTGACATATATCAATGCACATAAGGAAGCCATGCTATGCTTTGTGAAATGTAAGTTAGATATTACATGGGCAGATGCTTCTACAGAAACCAGGAAGGGTAGTGCTTTGACCAGAGATGAAGACGTAAGCCTGTGGCAACCTTAGTTGGACAACAGGAACTCTGAAGAGGCCAGCTTCTGACTGCATCATCATCACCAGATTTGTGAATGAGCCATTGCAGGTTCTTCTTAGGAATGTGTTGGAAAAAGGTAGAAAATTCTACTTTAAAACTGCTAAGGGCCAATTTAGGGTGCCTCTGTGGGTAGGCTGCAGATAATCAAAAGCTGCATCATAAAGACACATCATCTAAAAATGATCTGTGAGATGTCTTTATGCCATGGATGAATCTGAATCTGGAGTGTGTTCCCTATACAATTGTTTTCTTTTTTTCCAAAAGATAGAAAATGAAATTGCTATTCAGATCTACTTGTATGCAAATTCCTATAGAGCCTTGCTGTAACATACGTATTTGGGGAACAACAAAATGTATTGTTTTGAGGATTAGGTTAGTGATGGCTCATGTAAAATTGTACTGCTAAATCCTCCACATGATTCAATATTAGCTTTTAAAAAATCCCTATTTGTGTTATCCTACAGAAATAACTGCTGCAAAAAGTAATAATTGATAGTATTAAGAAACTGCTCCTCCCTATAAACCTTGTCCTGACATATCTGATTATTAGTTTTCAAGCTGGTTAGCCATTATCATTGGTGGATGTGTTATAAAGGTAACCTGTAAGCTTACATTGCTGCTATGCATGAACCCATTTGTCTCATTCCACAAGAAAAGTAATGAAGGGGAACATTTATAGGCTGGGAAACTTGCAGGGTGGGGGTGGGGTAGATATGGCCCACAGATCAGATATTGACAACTTCCTGCTTATTGCTTTGAAGCTGCAGTCCTTAGAAAGTTACCTACTGCAATTGAGGCAGCCATTAGTGAGAAAGTATTTCAAAATTGCCGTGCATTGTTCCCAATGAAGATCATGCCCAATGGTGGTGGGTTTTGTTTTTGAGGATTGTGCTGTAAATGCCTACAGATTTGTTGCAGCACTCATCCTGCCTCAGGCCTCTCCACTTGGAGAGTTTCATGCATTAGTCAGAAAGGAATATTCTGGAGAGAGTGCTGTTTCACCACGCTGGCAGCTTTCTTTTCCCTGTTTATACTGTAGCCTGTAGCAGCATTAAAGCATCCTCTTAATTACTCATTCTGTTCTGTCTAAGCAGCACCTGTTCTGCCAAGCTCTTTCCAATCCTCTCCATGGTCTCCCACGAGGATATTCTTAGAATTTTCTTATTTTCAGGCAGGTGCTCTCATCGGAAGAGCATTTCAGAAAAATCTCACAAGGTGATCTATGATTCTCCATGACAGAGAATGTACCTTTTGTTTCCAGTAGCTTGGCACTGCTGTGCCAACACTGTGATTAGCTTAAGGCCTTTAATATTTCATTACTTTGCAAGATCCATTTTCTGTAAAGCTTTAGACTCATTGGAAGCTGGCAAGGAGCTGAGGGAGGGAATGGCATTGAGAAGAATTAAATAGGCAATGAATTAATTTTACATTAATGATAAACTTGAAAATAACTGCTGCCTGTAAAATGCTCCTTTGGAATATAACATAAGTTCCCGCTTTATCCCAAAATCAATGCATTCATGTTAAGGTTCTGGAGGGGTTACCAAAAACAATATAGAATGTCAGCGATGAACCCAAGTCAAAGGGTATTTGGAAACGCTTGAATACTTTGTACTATAAGCAACGAACAAGCATCCTGCAGGCAGGTTTTGAGCAGGACAAGTAAACTGAATTGAAAGAAAGCTGCACATAGCAGCTTCTTTAGCAGAAATGAATTAAAATAAAAGAAATAAAAAGAAGCTGGTAGTCATAATCTGAGACTTCTTACAGCACAAGCTTGTTGCCTAGGGAGAAAGCAAGCAAGTGCCCTTTGTCCTGGGAATCCTTTCTTACATGCGCAGCTGGAAGCTGGCAATGTTGGCTGCATTTAGAGATAATTTAGAATTGTGAATTAAGTCCCTTTGAAAATTGTGTGTGAGAATGTCAATAGGCAAACTGGCTAATTGTCAGGGTGTGTCCTGCCTGGTCTCATGCCGCCCCTTCAGCCTTTGCCTGCCTAACCCATCTCCTTTACCAGCTTTCCCTCCGCTTGGTGCCACCCCCCCTCCCATGATTTGGGACATATCTCCCCAAATTCCAGTCAGTCATTATGGTCAACTTGTCTTTTTGAAAGATGTACTGTTTGTGGTTGAAAACTGGAATGCCAAAGTTGGAAATAGTAAGGAGGAAAACATAGTTGGACTGAGTGGCCTAAGAAACAGAAATAAAACAGGAGAATGATTTATCAGTTTCTTCCAATTCAATAATTTCTTCAATGCTAACATATTTTTCAAAGTTCAAAACATACCTTACATACATGGGCATTGCCAGATGGGGCACATAAATTAGTTTCACTATATTATCAGTACAAGAAAGTGAAGGAGCTCAATTTATAGTAGTGAAAATGTGGATGGGGCTATGTAGAATAGATTGTGAGCTGCTCATACGCAAGTTCCAAATCAAGCTAAAGCAGGCCAAAGCCAACAGATTCCAAGATATGAACTTGAGCACGTACTCAATATTTTCAAGGACAACATCAGGATTTTCTGGACTCTTTCCAGTCGGGATTCAGGCTGGGCTATAGTACCAACATGACATTAGTTGCATTTGTTGATTACTTTTGAAAGACTCAGGATGAGGGTGGTGTGTCCATCTGGCCCTTCTGGATCTCTTGGTGGCTTTCAATACCATCAATCATGGTATTTTACTGGACCAGCTCTAACAATTGAGGGGGGGCACTGTTTTGTGACAGGAGGTTTTCCTCCTGTCTCCATGACTGATACCAGTCAGCATTAGTGAGCAAGGCTAAATCCTAATCTCCTGTTATGTCTCTCTCCCCTCCTATTTAACATCTATATAAAGCCACTGGAAGTGGTATTTGGAGCATGGAGTCCAATATCAACAGTATGCTGATGATACTCAATTATACATCTCTACCTCATGCAGAAAAGTAATGCTGCTTAGTGCCTTGAGGCTATAAGGGCCTGGATGGGAGAAACTGGCTTTGACTCAACCATAGCAAGATGGAATAATTGTGGATCTTTGGCTCTCCTAAAGTCAGGAGAATTAACATCTCTGACTCTAAAATGGGATAATATTCTCATGGAGAGAGGATCCACCTGAACTCGTGGCTCCTGGTGGAAAAGCATGTGGCAACCATGTCAGAAAGCTTTGCACAAATTTATCTTGTGTGTCAATTGCACGCATTCTTCAAGCAGGAGTCCTTGCTCATAGTAATTCATGACTTAGTCACCCCTGTTTGAATTACTGCAATACATTCAAAGAAAAATTGGAAGTGCAACTGGTCCTAAATCCAGCAGCACATAAATTTTAGGTCGTCCTGTGTTTCACCTGAGTAACAGCACTTTTGTTTGAGCTGCATGGCTCCCAGTTATTTTCCAGGTGCAATTCAAGGTGTTGGTTATGACCTTTAAAGCTGTACAATGCACAGAGCCAGATTATCTGCAGGATCACCTCTGCTCTTCCTTCTAGGTTAAATAGGGTAGGCATGCTCCAGGCCCCCTCCCTCAAATGTTGTTACCTGATGGGACTTTGGAAGTGTGCCTTTCATAGTGGTCATCCCAGCCTTTTGGAATAGCTTCTCACCTGAGATCTGAGGGATCACTGCTTTTTTAGCCTTCCAGAGGGTTAGGGTGGCATTGGGCTAGGATGAATTGGGAGATTGTTTGTTCTGTCAGAGATATCACAGGTAGCCAAGAAAACAAAGAAACCAGTCCAGAGTTCTTATTCAAGGCACAGATAAGATTCAAATGATCCTATTTTGGATACATTATGCAAAGACCCAACTTCTTAATAAGAATGGCAAAGGACTAGCAGGTGACAAAGAAAAGGGCAGGTTTTCAGCTTCTATTCTGATTAATTTTCTCAAAGTAAAGATGTGTTTTCCACCAGATAATTATGAAAAGCAAGTTTAAGGAACAGGTTTGAAATTTGAGAATGATAAAAAAAGATATTCAGGGAATACCTGTTTACTCTGAATGAGTTCAAATATCTCGGACAAAAGGTATTCATTTATTTGATTTCTATCCTACTTTTAATTTAGGCATTCAAGACAGTATTTACAGCACTTCCTGCACTTATAATTTCACATAAAACAGCCTGGTGGTAGGTTGGGCTGTAGTCCAAAGTCACCACATGAGCTTGGATAGAATATTTATCAAATCTGCAAATATTACAATGTCAGGTGGGATATCTCATACCCTAAAGATTGTATAAATAACTTTAACAATTATTTTTATGTTAGAGAACTGTGCCTAAAATAACAGAATGAAATTTAACAGGAACACATGCAGGATTTTTCACTTAGCAAGCAATCAGCTGCACATGTGTACCTGACTTGGCAAAAGCATTTGTGAAAAAGGTTTTGGAACTGTAGCTGATCACAAATTGAATATGAGTCAGCAGTGTGATGTTGCTTTCAAAAAAGCCAAATGCAATTTTATGCTGCTTCAGCAGAAGTATTGTTTCCAAAATCATAGGCAATCATTTAATTTCTTTTGGTCATATCCCATCTCAAGTATTGTGGCCAGTTCTAGATATTGTACTTTAAGAAAGATTTAATTAAATTACAACAAGGCCAGAAAAGATCTCTGAGGAGGGGTAGGGATTTAAGAAAGATTGAAGGAATTGGGAATGTTTAATCTTGAAAAAACTGGGAGGTACTACATGGAAGATCAGGCTTTGTTTTCTACCACTACAGAGGACATTGCCCCCAATCATGAAAACAGATTCCAGACTGAATGTTTAGAAAAATCTTAACAGTTCAGCCAGTTATCCAGAAAATTGGATTCCTTTCCACCCAGTGTGTTCAAGTGAAAGCTAAGCCATAACTGAGATATGCTTTAATTTGAGCATGTTCTGGTATTCAACAAGCAGTTGGAATGGCTTCTTTCAATTTGTCAATGATTAAGGGCACACGAATCCTGGGTTTTGGTCTTCATTTTCACAGATGAAATAGGTTATTTTTCATTAAACTGTATGTCCCTAAGAAATCTTATTTTTTGGTTCTTCCAACTTGTCAAGCATTGAACGCAGGAGATACTATTTTTTTGTGGCCACTGTAGATATACAGGGATGACTCCTAAATATCTGCAACTTCTTATACTTATGCAGCAACTTTTATTGCACTCAAAATTCTAAGCCGCCTCACCTTGCACACAAAATTTGAGCTCCTTGGCATCAGTAACCACCGAGTATTGCAACTTTTCAGGTATTTTCTTGCTCATGCGGTTATAGCTGCGCTGTTTCTTGGTTTCCCCCCAAAGATTGGAGCCACCATACATGCTGGGAATGTTGAGGACTGCAATTCCTTCCAATGAAGTGCTAGTCAGATCCAAAACTGTTCCATCACACTGATACAGAGGGAGAAAAAGATAAAAGAGTGGTTTTTATCAAATATATTTAGAATTATCTATTAAACTGTATCATGAACTATTTAAATATTTTTATTCCACTGTTCTAAATATCAAGTAACTTCTTATTGTCATAAAACCAATGAAGCAAAATTATTAAGATCCACATTCATTACAATAACACTAAACAATAAGCTGTGATGCTATCAGTTCAAAATTCAGGTGTAGATGGCTAGAACCCCTTTCAGTGGGAGGTGTACTGTCTAAACCAGGAGTCCGCAACCCCCAGTCCGTGGACTGGCACCAGTCCACATCATGCCAGCAATGGTCTGCGCAAGCAAGTGAAGCCCTATCTGTGAGATGCAGGCATGCAAAACCACACCCCCTCAGATCTGCGGAAAAACCTTTCTCCATGGAACCGGTCCCTGGTGCCCCTAAGATTGGGGGCTGCTGGTCTAAACAATGTCTTACTTAAGGCCATTTTTACCAGAGTATAAATGTGCCACAAACATGCAGTTTAAAAATCCACAGGGTTTCACTTTCAAAAAAAATGCACTATATTTCTTGTTTCTCATGCACGTCTGAACAGCTCAGTAGATGTGAATGAAACATTAGATCTATGAACAAGGGGTCTATATAACTAAATATTCTGAACATTTTAAAGTATGGTATAAATATTATCAGGAGTAATATGGGTAAAGTCTAAGTAACCTAGTAAAGATTACTTTAAGCTTCAGTATGGTTGACCTCCTTGATAAATAATGCCATCTATGAAGCCAACATAGCTATATTCATCTAAGCTAAGGCAATGCCTGTTGTATTCAAGATCATTTTAGGATGCCTGTAGATCCTAGTAATTTTGTGAGTCTTTATCACCTATGAATATTGCTGTTTTGCATATTGTGTATTATTTTCTGGCAACAGAGGGAATGTTTAAAGCAGGGAATGAAGACTGTAAATAATGTGACCATTTTACAAGCCATTGTGGGTGGCAGAAAGAAAAAGTTTAGTAATAGTCAGGTGAACACAGTAATAATAATTTATATCACATTTAAAAACTATCAAGCTTCATATGTGAATCCATTTAGCTGTGTGGTTGTCCCTTCTCCCTCTAATTGAAACTAGAAATTAATGAAAACAAGGTGTAAATAGGGTGTTTTTTTTGTAAAGAGTAGTCTAAAGCAACATAATAACATGTTTGGCAAAAGCTATAATTGAAAAACAATTATTTTGGTCTGCACACAGGTCCTTTGATATTTATCTAAGGATTGCAAGTGCTGTTCTTCGGTCTGTGTTCAGTTCTGCTTCATTGTTTTGCTTAGGGACATTGCCAATGAGCCTCCCCTGTGCTGTCTGGGTAGCAAAATTCTGGCAGGCTGCAGAAGGTGATATGGATGCCATATATTCACCCAGCAGAGGAATGAGCATCTAATGGCCAGCAACTGTTTTTTCCTCTTTAACCCTGCTTTGTCTCTGTGCCAATGTGGTACAATGGCCTCTTTGAGAAGGGGCAGCTGATGGGTTGTTGGCAGGAAAACTGGAAGTAGACATTTGCAGCTGGGCAAAAAAACAACTTTATTTCTAAGCGACTACAACTGTAACTGATGCCAATTTCCAAAACAAAACTGCCATTTCTCCTGTGCTCATGACAGATGCCTGGAGCCAAAAGGAGGGCAAACTGTTGCTTTCATCTTAAAATGCTGTTAGATTAACACTTTGCAGCCCTTGAACTACAATATCCTGAACACATTTGCAGAAAGATCCAGGACTGAGAAACGAAGTTATTTTTTCACACAATAGTATTTTTCAGCCAATACTGGGAGGGGATACGCTTAAGTGGTTTTTTTTTGTAAAACAGATGAATAGTTGTGCAGTGTGGAATCTGTCAAAGGTTGAACAAATACAGCTAAAATATTTTTCCCATGTTCTCACTATCAGTGCTAAATCCAAAACAAGTACAATAAAAGCAATAGTGGATCAGTGTAAACCCTTTTGTGTGTAGCATTCTGTTTCCAATCAAGGACCCATGGAAAGCCCACAAACAGACTAAAATCCAATAATGCTCATGACTTGTGTTCTTGGCAACTGTTATTCAGGTGCCTAATGATATTGAAAACATTATAATCACCGTCAGGACTACTTCCGACAGCAGCATTATTCTACTACCTGCTTATCCCAGATATACTGTATAGAAGGTAGTCCTAATTGTTGCTCAAAGAAAAGGCATTCACTTTTATTTTATTATTTAATATGCTGCATGACTAGATTACAAACTGAAGTCATGTGTGGAACTAAGCTGTTTTGAACCCAAGAACTAATCATTTGCCTACTTAGATTGTTTGAAATGTTTCTGGCAAAATGTGCTATTTGAATATTCCATGTCTGACTTCAGTCTCTCAGGCATGAATCCACAGGGGAAGGTTTTAGGAGTTGCACTGATTCACAAACTAAATACAATCTCAAAAATTGATGGCTAGGGGAAAATGCCAAATACCATTTTAAGTCTGCATCTATTTTATAGATGTACTAGGTGAACTGGATGTGGGAGGTAATAGTAGTGTTTGCTGAAATACCATACCAAACTAAACACAAACCTTCTCATATTTTAAGAATAGCTGGACAATGGAAAAAGTTCTTCAGAGATACCAAGAATGTCCTTCCTTGCTGGTTCTTTTTTATTTAAACATCCTGTACTCAAAGGGATAGGCTAGACTAGTGCTGGAAGGAAGAAAGCTGGGGAGTGATGAATGAGCAAGGGATGTAGCCAGCTAAAATATCTGAGACAGCTGAAGAGAAGTATATGTTATGTCATTTACCCTTTTTGACAGCAATCAACTGAAACTTATTCCTGATCTGGCTTTGGATGAGTTCCAATTTCCTCTAAAAAGCTTTTCTCTCCTTCCTGGCTATTATTAGACCCTGAAGATGCTGTCTGCAATAAAATCAGGAGGCCATCACTGTGTGTAACCTTAGAAAATAAGAGTAGATGTCTTAAGCACACACCACCATCTATAGAGGCTAAAGGAAGAATCTTTTTGAACATAATGGTAGTCTACAAAGAATTTGAAATAATTATCCAGACCAACAAGCTTTGTCATGTTACAGCAGGTTGGAGTGGACAGGCTTCTATCTCTTTCACTGGCACTTTTGAAAGATACTGTGAAAATAGGAATGAGGAATAAAAAGAGATGCATGAAGAAACCAGCAGTGAACTCTGAGTGGTATGTCCACTTGGCATCTTTTTGATGTGGTCTGCAAATGCAATGTATTCCTTAAAGCCATCCAAACCCAGATTTGAGGTCACGCTGGCATGCAAATCTATAGTCATAGCAAAGATAGTAGGACCAGGATCACTTACACCATTAGGAAGCAATTAGAGAAGCCAACTGAGCCCAGGATCTTCTGAAATGATTTCTTGGACAATGACAGCTGATGGGAATTGTCCCTGAATCAGCCCTTGAGTGAGGATGCCTGTCCTCATTGTCATAAGGAACTGAGGGGAGGTGATCACAGCAGACTGAAAAAGCATAGCAAGGTGTGGGCTTTGACTGACAATTCCATTTTCTAGTTTTAGTGAATAATTAACAAACATTACATTTATGTTTCCAGACTATGGATACTGAAAGTATAACTTTCAGTCCTTAAAAAGAGGACAGTTTGGATGAGGTTGGGGAGTGGAAATGGTTATGGAAAATACACACCACATAAAATCTCAAGTAGAAACTATGAAATGACTGACTTCTTAGTAACTGCTGGTGAACCACATGTTTCCTAATTAGAGGCTGTTTTCATGTAGCTCGAAGGTGGTAGTAGGCAACCACAGAATTTACAAATATTCACAACAAACTTAATTTTAGTCAAGCCCAGAAGTATACCTGTAAGGGCATAATTCTGTTCTCCCAAAACTGGCTTCAAAGATGAAACACTCAGATGTCCATGCCAGCAAATATATTTAAAGGGAATCCATAAAATAGGACTATGCTGTACATTTTAAAAATGTTGTTCCACATCTATAACTTTTTCTTCTTCCACTGAACTGTGTTTTGGATATGTGTATCCAACGGAAGCTTTCTCAACTATAAATGTACCTGCTCTTTCCCTGCAAAACATCTTAAAATGTTTTAGTGGATGGAGATATCACTAAAAGCTCAGCTGCAGCTGCCAGCTGTTTGTGGGGAAAAAACCTCTGTCGACATGCTAACAGTGCAGGAACCACAGGAGATATATTGTTAATTGGAAAATATTCAGAATCTTGTTTGGTTCTATCATTGTGGGTCAGAATCAAGGTCATGAGCCAAGCACTAAAAAAACAAAGAGAGGAGTATTATGAAAGCTATGGGGGAAAAAATAAAGTGTCTGCTGGCATTGTCCCATCAGGCAAGCCTTTTGGTGAGAAGCTTTCTCCTGTCTCCCTCCTGCACTTTGGATTCTCTTAATCATTGATTGGAAAAAATGGCCAATGCACCTCATCTTCCTATTCCTTTATTTCTCTTATGTCCAGCAGTCCAGGGGCAATTAGGAGAGCCCAGAGGCCCTTTCTCTTCAAGTGGCAATCTTCAGTAGAATGGCAAATAGGGTGGCCTTTTCGTTGCCTGTCTCCTCCTGCTCCTCTTCCTCTTCCTCTTCCTTCATCGGCTCCTCTCTCCACCCTCGTCCTGCTCCTCCTCTCCCCCTACACAGTTCTACAAAGTCAATAAGTGAAATTTCCATAAACGTACATTTGTGAATTATCTACTATTTGTGATCCAAATTTTAAAAGCACTCTGTTTCAGCTGAGAAGATACTGAAGGTTTTTTTAATGGGGGGGTGGGTGGGAATTCTTGTATTGGAATTCATATTATTTTCAAAAACCAAAATATTTCTTGAAAGAATGGAAAGGTCCCATGTCTTGAAGGATGTGGCTGGGTTTAATAGCATCAGGATAAACTGAGCAAAACACGTCCGGCTCCAGGGATAGTGCTATGTTGGTTACATAAAGACTAGACCAATGCTAATCAATTACTGCCATAACCCTTGGCAAATCTACTCATGAATAAAATATATTCATTTAACACCACTACTTAAGCTTTTGAATATATATCTATTAAATTAAATCATTTTAATTTTTTTTTTAATTCTAACCTGTAACCAGCAGAACTGTTACAGCCTAATTTTTGACTAAAGTTTTAATGACTCTGTAGATGGAATGTAACTGAAGTTAAAGAAGGAGGGAAAAATAAACCGTAAATTTGCCAGGAATAATTTTCCAATAAACCATGGAAATTCTTACTCTACAAGCTTGACCCTGACTTTTCTAGAATGTTCAATAGCCTACAGTATGTTTAATGTTTTAATGAAATACAATAATACATTTCTAAGAAATTATTGGCATAATCATGACATACCTTCTACAGAAAATAAGAGTAATGGGTTTGGGGAGACTCACCTCAATCTCTACATAGTCGTGAAGCTTCTTGCAAGTGGCTGAAAATGTTTCTGTTGTGCCGAATTCAAAATACCACAATTTATTCTTCATTCTGACATAGAGAAACAAAATAGGAAAAGCATTCTGGAGTGATACATTCACATGATACTTTATCTATATATGCTGCCTTGCTAGCAGCCACAGAGTTTGCAGTCTACATACGTTAAGAGCTACCATAGTATAACTGGGAAATGATAGAGTAAAAAAAATTCTTCTAGAAAATTAGACAACTTATGGAATTGCATCACAACAGCACTAGATGATGGAATATTTCAATTCACCAACTATTTTATACACTTTTCCCTTTCAGGAAAATTTATTTAGGAAAAATTTGCCATCTGCAGTTACAAGTTTAGCAAAATGTAAAACCTATCTTCTTGTTGTTTTTGTTTTGTTTTGTGAACTCTGAAGATAGAACTATCTTTTCTTAATAGAATAGTTGCTATCTTCAGAACCAAATTTTAATTATATTATTCTGCACCAGTCATTGATGCACGTCACAGTCCTACAGATTGTATCAGAGGATTTACCCCACAGTTTAGCAGTCCAAGGAGCTTATAGAAAGTAAACAAGAATAAGGATGCTTCCACAAGTTTCCAGTCCTCAATACCTTGCAAATCAGTCTAAAGCCAGGTTCAAATAGGCAGTGTGACACCATAAGTCAATCAGCCAACTCCCATTATTCCCAGTCAGCTGATTGTTGATAATGGAAACTGAATATCTTCTTATATTGGAAGGAAGGCAAGAAAGCTGCTGCTGCAGCAGCCTTGCTCCTGGGAAAGGTAATCAGCCTCTGTTGCCCAGTAGCTGGCCAGGCTACTCCACTGGTGGGATTCAGATATGTGAATAACCGGTTCTCTGTATGGATGCTGCTTCCGGAAGTCCATTCTGGGCCTGGGCAACAAAAAATTAGCTACCGGTTCTGCTGAAGTGGTGTAAACCAGTTGAATCCCACCACTGAGCTACCCCCATAAAATGGCATGCTTTGCCTGCTTGTACTTGGCTCATACGATTATCCATTCTAGGGGTGTCAAACTGCTGGCCCGCGGGCCGGTTGCATCATATGGATGCCGCGCCCACCCCAGCTCCGGCAATGCAAAAAAAGTCACAATATGTTGCGACACGTCACGTGACATGGTGAGTTTGACACCCGTGCTCTATTCTTTCAGGCTCCTCCCTTACTATCTGTAGATGCTATGCTTCATGTCTACCTGCCTTTCAACCTTCTGGGCACCCATAAATTGTAACCCTCCTTATTCTTGTTCATGAATTCACATGTTTGTACATGTGGGGTGGGAGAACAATCCATTTTATGGGAGTCCCTGACCTAAGTCCATAAAATCTTGTTTTTATTTACTGTGAAAGCCTATTTCTTGACCATAGAAATCTACTATACTAATGTTTTTTTACTTACATAATCATAGCCCGTCAAGCCTTTGGAGTAAAGTCAACTAAGCTGCCTCATTCTAGTTTCAATTTAATATAATTTAGAGGAAGCATATTTCCACACAGATAGATTTTTTAAAAATATAATTTAAAATATAAAAATATAGTAAAACAGAGCTTTATAAGGCCAATTAAGATAATTGGATTATTTCTCAATTCAGGATTTTTAACATGATTTTTTTTTTATTATGATGGTAGAATCAGGAGTAAGTGGTGGTGGCAGACAATTTAGAAGGAAAATCATTTGTACTTCAATTTGAGAGGGCAGTATGCTTTTATTGCCCCTTCAAACTTTAGGACAGAAATATGCGTGCGCTCACCCTCTTCTTCTAATACATATTTGGTGGCTCCTCTTTGGCCTAAGATGACTTCAGAGCTGTCTAAGGAACATGGTAATTTAATAGAGTTTGTTTACAGGAAGTGCCTTTACTTCTGTGCTCTATTCCTTGTATGAAAAATTTTCAACCAGATCCTCAGAAACCATCCAAAGGTTTAAAGACTGGCGTAATGTTATAAAGACAGGAACAGCAGCTGTTTGGCTCCTAGCCACCTGTAGGTGTAAAATCGTCTCCAGAACTAAATAGGGAAGTCTTGAGGTATTGTACACATCTCACTGTGCCCTATTGGAACACACTTCCTTGACTAGATCACTTGGGTTTTTTTTAGAAGGGCAGCCTACTTTGAGCTCTGTCAGGAAAAAGTCAAAGTTTTCATCCCACATAATGGAATATATATCAGATTAAACAACAGGAATTTTGAAACACTAACGATGACATAAGACAGCTTGGTGCTTTTGCTCAGCAGAGTAAATGTTTGTACAGAGGCATTATTTTTCAACTTTTCAAGGCATTTGAAAATGTAATATATCATCTCACTGTTCACACTGAACCCAGACTATAGATCTGATAATCCACCTACTCTGTTCTATTTACTTGATTGTGCACAGCCCTTTTTCTCTTTCCCCAGGATGCCATCTGGAATCCTTCCTATGCAAGGCAAGTGTATGAGTAATGCTTCCACACTAAGGATCCCTTGAAAATCTTCCAAAGAATCCTAGGTTTCCAACTTTGGAAAATGAACAAGTAGAACAATCATGTCCATCCCTCTGCTTATTCCACATACTTTATTTTTCTTAGATTACTGCTGGACCAAAACTGTACATGCATGTTCATGGATTTTGGAGAGAAGTCCACGGTTAACCAGTATCGACCACAAATAAGTGTCAAGAAGGCATAATAAGGTAAATATTTGAATTAGGTAGAACGGAGACAAGGACTTCATAAGAGGTCAGAAAGCTGGAAGAAGTCCAATAATTTTGTAGCGAAGAAAGAATATGACAAAAAATTAGGTGAATAAGTTGTTAATAGCTATTTTAGTCCATAATACTTCTAAGACTTCTCGTGGCTATATTCCAAGTTCTAAATTGCACCCACTGATTGAAAATTAATCCCATTATATTTTATCCTGTACAGCTCTATGTGAAACCTTCTGATGTTTGAATACTGCTACAAAATTTCAAAGCTTCTACAATACAGTACCCCCAATCTTCAACAGACTAAATAAGTATTTATTGCATTTACATTCTACATTTATTCTGATAACTAAAGTTGCTTATATGAATTTTATTCCACAACAAAAATCTGTAAGGTAGCTTGGGCTGAGACAGCATGACCAGAGTCACCAGTGAGTCCTATGGACAAGGAGATGTTTGAACCTGGATCATTCCAGCCCAAATCCAACCTAGTAAATACCACATTACACCGGATTTTCAGATATATTTATTTCTTTTCACATTTTTTTATTCCTATGAACTATCTATGCTGCCTACTTCCTATACACCTGAAAAAGCTTCTGAATGCCTTGATTCAATTCCTCTGGATTATAAATATGTAAACCCTCCAGGCAGAAAATCTTTATTTTTAAAACTGTGAAATATTGAAGCTATATGGAGAGTGAGAGAAGCTAATTATCTCTCTTGACAATAAAGATCAGAGTGCATAATTGTGGCAAACAGGTTATGACATTATCTAAATTCATATTAGGCTTATGGGTGAATATATGTGTCAAATATTTGTGTACACGCCAAATGGATAAAACTGTTTGTTGTATATCTATTACAATTTCAGCAAAAACTATAAACCAACATCTGAAAGGCCAAACATTATTCATTCTGCATGGTTGAAGCATGGGATTACCTTTACAGTTTCCATTTTGTATTTCCTAACCAATCCTTAAGATGCATTAGGAGGATAAAGATATGTTTACTTCAGCAGGAAGACTGTTTGCTGAAGATCTATTCTTAGAGAAATGTTTGAATAGAAGAATTTTTGTAAAGTTTTTTTGAATATCTCCTGCATAGACATTAGTAAGTGAATTTTGCTTTTTTAATGAAAGCAAGCCAGGACTATTTCTCATGAATCTACATGTGAAACATGAGCTAGTTCCAACCTGATATTCTGTTTTGCCTTTATTGCCTGTTTCTGTTGGTTCTGGAATTTATATATAATTATGAAGTGTGAATGAATGGAACTGGATCTACAGCCAAATTCTAGGAGCTTTCTAAGCAAAACCTAAAATATCCAGAATTGCCAAATGTTAAGAGTTCCAAATCTTAGAATACTACATATTCTTTTGAGATCATTTTGCTCCAGGATTTTATATAGATAACGTAAGTTTCTTTCAGTAATTCTTTTTATCTTAAAGACAAGTGCCATGAAATTATCCCTGATTGACAATCAATCCAGTTTGATGAGGAGTAAAACCTCAGTCAGAAGCAAAACAGTAGCTCAAATGGGCAAACACACAATAAGAAACAAAGTGTTGCTGTGTGCATACTTAGCCTAAGAGCAATTCCTCATTTCAGCCTAAGCGACTTGTCTCACATGCTGCTCCTGGCCAATTAAGCCAAATCCAGAAATTGCAGTCTGGATTGTTGTGTATTGATAAGGGGATCAGGCTGATGTTCAGTCTAGATAGCCCTCAACTTACAATCATTTCTTTAGTGACCATTCAAAGTTACAACAGCACTGAAAAAAGTGATGTATGACTGTTTTTCACACTTACAGCCATTGCAGCATCTCCATGGTCACATGATCAAAATTCAGATGCTTGGCAACTGGCATGTGTTTATGACGGTTTCAGTGTTCCGGGGTCATGTGATCACCTTTTGTAACCTTCTGACAACAAAGTCAGTGAGGAAGCCAGATTCACTTAACAACCATGTTACTAACCTAATATCTGCAGTGATTCACTTAAAATCTGTGGTGAGAAAGGTCATAAAATGGGGCAAAATTCACTTAAATTCAATTATCTTGCTTAGAAACAGAAATTTGGGGCTCAATTATGACCGTAAGTCGAGGACTACCTATAGACCAGCCTATCAGGGCCTACTGTTTCCTTTTAGAGATGGTCTCTCCAGATGTTTATGTACCTGGATGGCTTCATACTCCTTTCCACATATCTTCTTTAACACAAATAGAGACCCTTTCTGTTTCCTCTCCTCCTTTATAACTCTGATTCTACAACAATCAATCAATCAATGAAATAAAAATTGGTTGTCCTTCCATTCCTCTGTAGATTTATGGAAAATTGGTTAGCAAGGAGGAACTGTTCAGATTTATGAAAACAATGTAGAAAAGTTCTTATGTTGCATCTTAAATATATAAAAGAGGGGAAAAAAACAGGAAAGGAAGGGGAAGCTTTGCGAAAGTGAGGGCAGAGGGTGAGAAAGCAAAAGGAAGATGCTTCACCAAAACTAGCAAAAACAAGAAAAAAGGGCCCACTGAATGAAAGAAGGGCTGAATGTAGCATGAGCTTCCTAGGTTGAAGATAGCTGACTGACTTAATAGGCCAATCATAAGATTGTAACAAGAATAACATCTGTTGACCAGTAGCTAACAACCAAGGACAAAATGGCCATCCAGGGCAGAGGAACCAGCCCAAGAGGGAAAGGGACATGCCAGGTACTACACCTAATCTGTGCATGGTCTGCTAGTAGAATGGAAGAAGTCACTGGAGACCCATCTGCTCTGAAGAGCTTAATATGGCTCAGCTCAGGTTGCAAAACAGCAGTTTCGAACTGAAGCTAGAAAACATGGGTGTGAAGTGCATTTGGAGAAGGCTGGGAGTAGGAGGCAGCCAAAGTCATCAGTATCTGCACTCAGGAAACAGTGAATGGCCTATATTGGCACCGGTCCAAGCAGAAAATGTGGGTCTGTGCTAAGAGTTGTGATCACTGTCAAAATCAAACTTGTCAGAAAAATTCCTACATTTTATCCCATGATTGGGGCGAGAAATCTTTTTATTTATTTTTTATGATTGTTATACAATTAGGATTCAGCAACCATCATTTTGGATTCTCAATTTTTTCCCCAAGAGACTCATCTCTGACCCACAGAGTAAGGTATGACACAACTCAAGAGAACCAATATCGTCATTCACTTTAACAATAAGTAGAGGCTAGAATTTTTACACTTTTATCCTTGTAAATTGTTAAAAATGAATGAAACATGTACATACGCAAACCTTGGCCTTTGTGGGCTGATTCTTAACAGATGGACAATATGACATAAATTGTTATTTATATGGCATGCACCCTTTCTCTTATTTATTTATTTCTGCCAAGCAATTCTTTAGAGTATAAGGCTTTTCAAAACTACAAGTCTGCCCACCTAAGGCTCAAATATAGTTGTGCAATGGCCAAAACAAAATGGCCAAAGTATTAGATTGTAAGAACAATAAAATATTTTACACCATCAGACAATGGTTTCCACTAAAGGGTGTTCCATCCTGATCAGACAGTCATAAGCATTGGGGTGTATAACATTTTATGGGCTGTTGGCTTAGCAGTTATGCTGAGGATGAAAAGCTTCTACTAAGTTAGGGGACTAGAAATGGGATTGGTATGGGTGCAGCAGCTCAGACATCAATTGTTTGTCCTAATGGAAAATCAAAGCAGTTTCAGGTAGCAGCATGGAAAAGACTCTCACAAACTGAGGGCTAATGATATCTGTTTCATCTGTTTTAGGAATATTTCATGTTTGTAGGGGAAAGAATAGCACTATCTTTCATTTAAAAACCCCCAACAAGATTGTTGATCTCTCTCTCTCTTTCCCCCCCTTTCTCTTTCTCTCCATGTGACTGCCACATTTACCATGGGAAAGAAGGCAATTGTTATATGCTGCTCAGGATCCAATGTACTTATATTAATCCCATGGACATAGAAGAAAATGGCATTAGAGCACACGGTAGTTAGAGATAATGAAATTCACATAGTTTGGTGGATAGTCCATGGCTGGATTGTTCCACAGTGAGTATTCTAATGTATTCATTCTCTTGTGCCTACTATTAAGCAGCAGCTGCCATTAGAACACATCTTAAGATAGAAGTGCTTCACAACCAAACATAACAATTCATGAAAAAATGATTCTACAAATAGATCTCTGTGTAGACTTCAATATTCCAGCAAAAGAAGATGATTTCTAATTGTTCAATAACAATAGCAACAATATGACTTCTCCTCACCTAGATTATATTACTTAAGAAAAAGCTTTGGGCTGATTAGGATTGGACCTTTATATGGAAGGGTGTTAGTGCTATCAGTTCTAGAACTCAGAACAAATTCTTAGCCCCAGAATTTTTAAATTTAGGGATATGGCTTTTTGGTTCTCAGATCTCAGGGTTCTAAAACAATGATTTAGTAACTGATTGATTCCATTGCTTTGCATTTTTAATTTCATTTTCCAGCTGAAAAAGATTACCAATGCAATTTAAAATAATTCAATTTTGCTTTCAGGTTTATAATATAAAAGACATGGCATAAAAGCAATTGAACTAGAAAGAAGAACAAAGAGAAAAATATCAAAGTTATTATATGGGTTCTTTTGGGGGGGAAGTGATTTTTTTGAGCCAGATTGTTCTCCCTGCAAGAGTCTTCTTGGAAAACAAAATGTATACCAGTTTCCTCTCCTGATTCCTAGCTAAATTAATAATGGATGAGGCCGAGGTACACTATGAGTAGATCCTGTGTCTGAAATTTGTCCATGTTTGAGCAACCCACCCCCCAAACCAGCTTTTCCCCCTTTCCAGGCACGTGGTCCAAGCCAATTGAATCAAAACCCACACATTTAGATAGAGGGTGCACAGACCAGGGAAGGCTTAATCAAGTAATTTGGTCCAACTATAGCAACCTTATAACCAGTACAAAAGAAAAAAGAATTGTGGGAGGGGGGGAAGGCTGATATTTACCTGCTATTGAATTTTTCAGGATGCTTTTCCCTCATCAAATGGAATCTATGTGCAATGGATGCATCCTGTAAAAAGGAGAAAGGGAAGGAAATGAAGCCTTTTATAAAGTACAGTCAGTTTTCCAGAATTCTTAACACTAGAACTTATAGATTTGAACTTTACTTCTTATATTGTGCCTTCCCTCAATTATTATAACTCGTGCTGATGTTACATTTCTCCACAAGCTTCTTAAAGTTACCATATCAGAATAATGTCTGTTTTCAAGCACTTTCATATTACTGTAGTTTGCACTTTGCATTTCTTACCCCCACTTTAATTTTCATTTGTTTATTTAAATAACATTCAAATAGTTTTTGGTACCAACAAAATTGCACATAAAATAATAGAATGCTGAAGAAAAAGCCAAGGCCTCTGGGGATTGGATCTCAGGGGCAATTGCATTTGCCTGTTATTTCTAAAAAAATTAAAGTGCTATCTCTGGGAAGGGAATGCAATCTGCCAAAGAATTATCATTTTACTGCTTTTCAAAGAGAACCTTGGCAAGATATTGTGGTGGCTGATCTTCTGTGGGGAAGAGGGAGAGGATGCATTGATCTGGAAGATGGGGCGATGCAAGTGTTTCTCCCATGAGAAACTAGCCTGCCACAAGTTCTCCCTAGAGCTCCAGTCAAGCAAAAAGAAAAAAAAGAAAAAAGAAAAAGAAAAGAAAAGAAAGAAACTTGTTTTAAGATTGCTTCCTGCCAAAGCACAGCTGGAAGTAAGTTGACTCATCTATCAACCACTGTCAACATTGAAGGATCACAGAAATTCAGACTAGGTTTGAAACGTGTGGAATCCTTGTACGGAGGTGTTGAATGTATGCCCTTGTATTTTCTGCCATTTTACAATATGCAGTATAAAATGGCAGCAAATTTGAATGCTGTTCAATGAAAAAGGAACCATTTCTTCTAGAATAATGACTTCTTCCAATATCATGCCCTTTTAGATACATTGGCCTAATTGGGGAAAGCTAATGTATATTATTCGTGGTTATCTGTTTTGTACTCCTAGAATACAAAAGGCAAAATATTCAGCTTAAAAAAAAACCCTTAAGAATCATTAACAGGACAGTCTTGTATTGGATACCTTTGGCCATTCTTTGCTTTGCTGACAATTGTGTTCTTATCCTTACTCTGTTTAAGAAAGCATAAAGTTTAAACTCTTTTCAAATCACAAATAGCAATGCAAAGAGCTTTCCCTCAGCACTGAGGTTTGGATTGCCTGCGGAATGCACCCTCCTCATCCAGGGATTAGCAAAGTCCACATCCCTCTCCTCATGATGGAGTAGTGAAGTGTCACTAGAAAGGGACTTTGCGAGTCCAGGACCTGATCTATTTGTAATCCAAAACTTCCTGTTAGTGATATAGTTACTGGCCCACGTTTCTTAGAGTCCAAAAATAAAGGGAGAGAAGATGGGAAGCAGCATGTGGCAGCCTAGGCTCAAGAACAGCTTGTTATCATCAGTGGTAACGCTTAAAAGCATCTTGTTAGAGCTGGGATTCCAGAATAACAAAGCCTGTTTATGTACTTTTCTTGTTCTTCATTACCCATAACTCAGAGATCATAATAACTTATTCTGTGGATCTATAGATATAGGGTATATAGGACACCAAAGTCAATTTTCTTAAATATCTGCAAAGCATGAAAAATAATTTAATGTAATATTAATCATGTGTTATTGATTTTAAAAGGTCAGCACATCAATTACAGCCATTTGTAAGGCACATTGCTTATGTCTGTAACACATTTATGGCAATCATCAATCATTTATAAATGGAGCCTTACTATAACAGAAGAACATTTTTAAACAAATGCTTCAGTGTTTCCCCACCCCCTTTCCATCAGCTGTTTCTCCTACCATGCCAGAACATTAAACTAGTCAGCTGTTGTGAGGGGCTTCCTAGCAACCCTACAACATGGGTAAACTAACATTATTTGACCAATTTCCATCAGTGAAAATGCACATCAACCATGAAGGCACACAGAATGTTTAATAGGACAAAATGGTAAAATGGTAAAATAGTTAAAATATAATTATATAAAAGGTTACTTCTAAAAGGCTGTACATGCAGTTATATAAGGCTACTAGTATAGCAGGAAAGCATATTCAACTGGACAGATGTGCTCTGGCTAATAGGGCCAGAAAATAGCACATAACGGAAGATATGCACCTTCACACTCTGCCCTATTACCATGGAAAGGAGTAGAAACATAGACTGGAGGAGTATTTTGTTCTAGAATATTTATTCTTGCTGATCGCTGCTAATCTATAAAGAGATTGGTAATGGTCAAAGATGCTTTTTGAGCAGCACTAAATAAATAAATCCTGAAATGTGAAGTCCTGTTATTCTTTTTCTCCTGCTAATGTTGTTGACTCACCCTCAGAGAAAGCTTCGAGAGCTTTCTGGATAGGACCAATGTGGAATTGTACTGTATCCAAATAGAACAATTTGAGTATCTTGTGCAGGGCTTTTCAACCAGTGGTATCGGTACCACCTGTGGTACATTGGCACCTGGCAGGTGGTATGCGACCATCCTAGAAAAGTGGTAGTGGGGAAGGGGAATGACCTGAATTGGTGGCACAAGCCTGAGCGAGAGATGGCTGGAGCTGCAGGGCTGTCAGGGCTCAGTGGAAGCGCCAGGATCAGCGCCAGACTCCAGCTGGAGCTCAACGCTGATCCTGGAGCTTCTGCTGAGACCAGAAGAAGCGCTGATCAGCTGGAATGTTGCAGCATCTCCAGGGTCTTGTGATTTACATTCAGATGCTTGGCAACTGATTCATATTTATGACAGTCACAGTGTCCCAGGGTCATGTGAAGTGACCAAAACCTGCTGCAACCACCCACCAGATGGGGTGAATAAAAACCAAACACCCACCCCACCCCATCCCCATTGCCAATCCTTAACAGAAATGCTCACAACAATGGAAACCTAGGACAGGAGGAAGAGCGCCGCTGGTGGGTAGGCAGGTGTCTTGCTCGGCTGTGGCTTGGGAGGCACTTTTTTCAGTGCCATTGTAACTTCAAACAGTCACTAAGCGAACTGTTGTAAGTCGAGGACTACCTGTACTTCATCACTTTTTTCCTTTTTTTTGTGTCATCAAGTTTTTGACACCTTGCTAGGCGACTGGTGGTACTCGGATATTGTCATATCCTAAAAGTGGTACAATGGGTGAAAAGGTTGAAAAGCCCTGATCTTGTGTATATTTGATACGACATCAGAAATTACTCTTCTGATTTTTTCAGGACCTTATTCTTTTTAGTTTTTATTTTGGCAATCCTCAAAAGTTGGAACTGAACTTGACTACACTCAAGCTAACACCTGATAATCTCAATCGCTCACGCTTATTTATTGATATTTTGTGTCATAAATCCTCTTTGCAGCAGTATGCCTACTTTCTTAAGAAAACACTATCATTTCCTTGCAGTACCATGTTTCTCATTATATCAATAACAAATGTGTGATATTAGTCCTTTATAAAGGTATATAAGCAAGGTGATTGGCTTTCTGTTCTGGCTTGGCTGCAGTGCCCTTTCAGCATATCACCAGTTATCAGGAAAAGCACCCACTGATCACAGTACTACAAGAAAATGGAGATGTTTTCATTTCAAAATTCGACTTGGGCTTATTTCTCTGGTTTTTCTGCCTCTCTTCCCATAATTCACACTAGCATTTCTCAAATTCCAATAATATTAAGAAACATATGGGACAATATCATAGCAGAATCAGACCCAGAGAAAAAGGAGGTAGGCCATGTCATAACTGTGCAGCTATAAGTAGTCTTCGGTTAATGACCATTTATTCAAAGTTATGACAGTACTGAACGAGGAGACTTACGACTGATCCTCGACGTTGTGGCCATTACAACTTTCCTGCAGTTGCAATTCATGCATTTGGCAAGCAGATTGCAATTATCATGGTTGCAGGTCCTGTGGTCACATGTTCACCATTTGCAACCTTCCTGGCCAGCTTCTAACCAGCAAAGTCAACAAAGAAGCTGCAGGAGTAAAATTGTGAAAGTACTAGCAGTTGGGTCCTGTGGATCAGGAGAACTGAAACTAATTGCTCGGCAACCATGATTGAAACTGGCAACTTCAGGGAAAGTGGCAAATAATGAAAATAAAATGTGAAAAATGTGCTAACGGCTGCAGCTTTTCCTGGACTGGCATGGTAGCCATGCAAGCCATGCAAGATCAGGACAATATACTGTATGTTTGAGTTAAAAAAGCAAAGAAATGTCTATAGGACAGCAAAAATGAGTTTCATCCTATTGCTGCCTCCATAATGTCTTCTGAATCAAAGCAAGTATCTTCTTGTGGCAGTACTGTCATCACTTCTCCTCCAGACCATTATCAAGTAATTTCCTGACTCTGCAGAGGTACCCTGTGAATCCAGGAAACAGTATAGTTTATTTAAGGAGATGCTGATAAAGTGGGGGAACATGTTGGAGCTGCAATACTTTGCCTGCTTCAGATCTGAACATTGTGCAACCTACCATAGAAGCATTCTATCAGTTTTGAAGGATCAGAACTGGCAGCTTCTACGCTACCAAGAAAAGTTCAAGCTATATGGCTCAGGTCCTTGCTGGTATCTTATTGGTCATCTTTCCCAAATGTATCTGTCCAGAAACTAATAAAGAGTTTGAGTGAACTCTGCTGTTGTGTCATTTGGTATGTTGCGGTCACTGATATACTCTATATGGTGTTATTATTTGTTTTATTATTCTATACTGTTTTTAGTGAAAAATAGTCAGAAGCATACAGGCAGAATGCCATGCCACGGACTTCTGAAATGCATGCACTATGGAAATGATCCTTCTATTATACCTTCCTTTGCTTCCCAATCAATTCTCTACCTTGAGTCCTTCCATAATTAATGATGTTCTTATTAATGTCCTTGATAGTCCAACACACTGGGAATAGTATAAGAGAAAAAAAATGAAATATTGGAGACTTAAATGTTATCAGCATGGTAAAAGATGACAGGATTGCAGTCCCAAATATTTGGAAAGCTACGTGAATAAGGTAACACAGATTGCTTACTACTCCTATGGAAAAATAGTTGTTGATGATGCTGTATGGGACAGGATCTCCGTTTTCCTCTTTGTCATTGGGTATGACATCAATTTGCCATCGATCCAGCATTACCTCAGTACTGTGCTCAATATCTTTAAGTATTTTTATTAGGTTGCCTCCTTCATAACCTTGGAATAGAAAAAAAACGGATAGGTGATGAGGAACAGAATGTTATAGTGGAATTTGCCAAGCATTAATGGGGCAATAGAGTAAGAGAAGGCCAGGCAGTGAGGGGCTCTACAGAATATATAGCCAGAAAAGAAAGGCAGGTGATCTGCAATGGAAGCAGAAATCAATCTGATGTAGTATAAGTCTCACCACTGGGGTTGAAATCTGAGGCCTTGTACTCCATCCCCAACTCTCAACTCTCAATTAATTGCTGGTGGCAAAAACATCAGCATTTGCTGACTCTGGGCCAGCAAAACAATGTACATTCTATGTAAAGACCAGGGCTTTTTTTTCTCATAGAACGCCCAGAATGGAGTTCCACCACCTTTTTTGGATGGAACCTTGTAGAGTAGGCAAGGCAGGTTGTATGACATGTGTGAGTTCCGGCACCTTTTTTTTTTTTTTTTAAGCACTGGTAAAGACCATATATAATCTCAGCCCCAATAACAATGTTAAATCTAGCTTCAAATTGCACCTACGGTATGAAGCAGTACTTTGTGGGGTAATAGAGTTATTGATTGGCTATAACTGCTGACTGCATGATAACTATTATGGGATATCTGCATGGGATATGTATTTTAAATAGGAATGCATCCACATCATGGAGATCAAGAGCCTCCAATGGTACTTTAACAGGGTGTGCATACACATGGGGCATGATGGCTTCGGCATACACTCATTTCTACCAAGGTCTCCATACTCTTGTCTCACAACTCCCCAGGGGAGAGCCAACTAAATATGTTAATTGTGATAGCCTAGTCGTGTACTGATAAATGTATAACAACCAACAATCCCATCTGTATAGCTGCCACTACTCTGCATTGCTAGCTGCCAAACAGATGATTTGGCACCATAAGCACTGTAGCTCATCTCTGTATTCAAGTGGCTCATAAAATTCCAGAATATTTAATAATCAGTTCTTGTGAGCTAGTATAAGCCAATTCCAACACACCACTGCACCAGTCACTTTAAAAATCAATTCTACCACTGTTTTACAAGGAAGGTGGTAAGTGGCCACCTTCTTCTTTCAGTAGCATGACCGGACAGGAAAATGTATGCAAAGGTTAGATTTCTTTTCCAGAATCAGTACTACTGGTTCATTAAGAATTTAAATCTCTATTGTATCAAACAAGATCAGAAAGTTACGTTGCAAATGGAAAAGAGAAGAAAATGAAGAAAAATGAACAAATATCTCTTAAATAAGTTGATCTCAGTTCCTACTAACCCAGGAAATAGATGTTCTCTAAATGCCAGGATCCGTCACATGTATACATGCCATAAGTTCACACAGCCCACAGCCCAATCCACAAAATGCAACAGATCTATACAACAACCAGCTTTGCTGGTCTAGCTTTTTGTCCAGATTCACTAGTTCCTCTCTTGTAGCTGCCAAAGCTGGAACTTTTGTCTTCCTATGTAATTAGCTAGCATCAAAGGAGAAGCACAAAAACCGAAAACAAAAGAATGCCTGCTCTCTCCTCTGTTTACATACCCATCTGAGAAGGAAAACTGATTGGCTACTTGGCGTTCAATTGTGGGGACATGATTAATTTTCTCCACTTATCATCTGAATGGTGAAGTGAAGCTACTTTTCCTTTATCTTTTCATGAAATTTCCCCATATTCACAATAGTAGTAAAGCATGGAAAATGGCTGGTGGCATTAAAAACAGCTGACAGGTTTCAACAACACATAAGATTGCTAGCAGGAGAAATCATTGGCAAGTCATGGCATGAAGTTATGGTGAATGAACCAAAACATTGGACTGACTTGAGAGACTTACCTCCTCCCCATCGGAGGCAACGGGCAAGATCATTCCCTGTTCCCAATGGCAGGATAGCCACAGGAGGGTGCTTTGCTAAGTTCATTTTATCTGCAAAGAAACAAGCAACCATCAGAGGCCCACAGATAGGCCTTTGGGTATGATGACCTTCTTTTGCAACATCTGCCAGAGGAGAGCTCACAGGAGTAGTAAAGCTTAATAACTCCCAAAGGGATAGAATTCACTTGAATTGTGTTCACTGACTAAAAATAAAAACAATAGCAGGGAGAGTACATGATGTACCCGAAGCAAATTGGCTAGAAGACTTGGCCTCAGTGTGATAGATGCAGTGGATGGAAATCCCCTAGTAGTGAAAAAAATGGTGGGATGGACCAGGGAGGAGTTGGGGATTAGTATAGTAGAGTCCCTGATAATTATGATGAACCTTACCTCTACATCTGCATCAAACCCCCCCCCCAGTTTAATCAATAGCAATTGCAATAGCACTTAGACTTACAGTATATACCAATCCACAGTGCTTTACAGCACTATCTGAGCAGTTTACAAATGTCAGCCTATTGCCCCCAACAATATGGGTCCTCATTTTACTGACCTCGGAAGGATGAAAGGCTGAGCCAACTTTGAGCATGTCAGGATCCAACTCCTAGTATGTGGGTAGAGTTAGCCTGCATTACTGCATTCTAACCACTGCACCACCATGGCTCATGCAATTAGCATGACATTAATTCATGCAGGAACTTCACCAGAATCACCTAGTCAGGATTCTACCAATCCATTGCACTTCTATTCTGAAAGGTTATTTGATTTCTCCCCATCTTTAAGGGAGTGCATTTTTTGTTACTAGATAGGCACAAAGATTGCCATGGTATGACATATTTCAAAAATTCAGAGTCTCTGAAAGAAGGGATAAATCTTACAGTGAATGTCCAAAAGCAAAATAGTAGCTAAGCTATTTTCCACAGGTCCTTCCTGAACCTTTATTACGTGCAATGCAATGGCCAGAATGTACAACTATAGCCAATTTCGTAAGAGCAGGGGAGGAGAGGTGATACCACTACACTGGTGGTATATACAAATTAAATTGTCAATAATGAATGTTAATATAATTTATTTATTTATTTATTTATTTATTTATTTAATTTAATTTATATGCCGCCCTTCTCCCGACAGGGACTCAGGGCGGCGCACAACATATTTAAAACCCGAACATATATACAATCCCCCCCTTAAAACCGAATTAAACCGAATTTTAATGTTGCGTCTTC